GAGAGAGAGAGAGAGAGAGAAAGGGGGCTCGGCCCGTGCTGGCTCTCGACGTTCCCGGGGATATTTAACACTTTCTTACATTCTGATTTGTAAATAGTTATTTTACATTCAAAATTACTTGGATTCTGATCACCTGGAATATAAATGATATATTTAAAAAAGAAGAAGAAGACTCAAATATTGGAGAAAATCCTTTTCCTTTATCACTGAGGGCAACGTCGTAGCTGTGCCCACAACAATGCTCACATGATTATCCTTTTCAAAACCATTACATTATTACGTTTATTATCACAACTAAAACTAAAATGTTTATGTTTCGTATTTAAATTTCAAACTGTAACAATTATTTATGTATCAAACAAAACTACCGTTGTTATTATAATAATAATGTATGTCACATACGACGTAGAATTCAATTTGTAATTTCTGCAGTTGTTTTTACCTGTTGTCACTTCAATAATTTAATCTTTTTGTTGCCGCGATAACATTCTGCCCAAAGATAATAACATTACAAATATCATCTACTATAGAAAATAATGTAGGATAATAGAGCAAATAACAAATATATTGTTTTGTCATTTACAGGAAAGACTTGAACTACATAAAGTGACAAGGTGTCAGACGTGGCAAGGAAAGTTCCCATCAAGACGGTAAAGCTAGTGTTGTAGTTTTTGAGTTGTGTAAAGTGACATGGTGTCAGACCTGGAAAGGAAAGTTCACTTCAAGACGGTAAAGTTTAGTGTTATATTTTTTTGGTTATGCAGAGTGGCATGGCTAGGTAAGTTCACTTCAACGAGGTTAAGTATAGTGCTACTGCTGTATCCTCAACGAGGTAAAATTATAAGCATTTACAAAGCAGTTAATTTTGTAAAGTAGCAATATTGTAAGCTATCGTTTAAAAAGCTTTCGTCCTGATTTAAATTGCGATATATTTTCCATCAGTTGCTGTAATTAATTACCAGCCTCTGAATCACAACGTTTGTTTTTTATAGTTTCTGTGTGAAGTTAGGAGGGGAAGGAGGAAGAGAAATTAAAGCTGCCACCTAACGTTTTAAATTTTAGTTATGATAGAACGCATGAAAATGTCCGAAAGGTAACTTACACACAGCTATTTTCATTATACTGACATTTATTTACTATCAATATTATTTGAACCAGATCAGTATAAACGAAATTTACAATAATTAGGCTTATACTGACTTTAGATGTCGAACAAGTGTTTTGCTAGTAACTTATAATTAAACAGTTTAGCTTGAGAACACGGAAACTTCTCCCTTTTTTCTATTCTGTTGTTAGCAACTTCACTAGATTTTATGATACACTAACAAATCATACGAGTATGAAAGCATTTCTTCGTTGTTTTTATTTTGTATAAATTGAGGCTTAGCTAATCGTGTTATGAACCATAGTGTCAGACATGGAATTTAGCCAAGGACTTAATAGATATATATAATTAAAAGTACAGATTACCATATCCTATTGTGCAATTTATGTGTGTGTATTAATGCTATTAAATTATACCAGATGCAGTGAAAAATTACAAAATATTACTTTAGACAAGAAATGTCATAAAAAAGTCACATACTGATCTTATTAGTTTCGGCACTTTACACATAGTAGCTAAATAAAGTTTCTCTTATTAAAATATATCTAAGTTCAATGTAACTAGAATCTCTAGATGAAGTAAAATGTATAAATTATTAAAAGTATTTTCGTCTGCTAATTACAAAACACATCAACAATGTTTACCGATTCATTTTTAAACGTTATAACCTTCTTTAATTTGTTAATTGTTCCTGGCTAATCTAATGCACTTCCGTTTACCAATACTTTTGAAAAGAATTGTGATGTATTTTCTTCAAAAGTAGCTTGTTCACTTTCAACTACAGTTAGGGAAACGGACTTCCGTTACCATGTGCACAACAATCTAACGCACTTCTGTTTACGTTTAGAATGCTTTATAAAACTAAAAACGTTGAGAATGGTGTACAAGAAACAAAGTAAATATTTTACTACAAATAACATGCATTTTTCCTAAGTGACACGATTTTTCTTTCTTACCTCTTATCTTGAAGAGTGTTGATAATTCTATGAGGGATTTCCTGACCTGAAAATACGCCATCTTGTCTGTTATTCGAAATTTTTCGGAGATACAAAGAAGCAGTACTTTCGCTCATGTATCCACTAGCAAAGTCATCAACTTTGTAAACAAGTCCTGACTTGAGTGCATTTCCTTCACTCATGTATCCTGCCACAACGTCAGCAGAACCAACGTTAGAACAATAGTTTACATTCAAAATACTTTTCATCGAGGAAAAAGTTCGTTTCATAGGAGTATCATATATCCTAGAAGAGTTATCTGACGTTAGAACGTGACTCGAAAGATCTAATCGTCTTCCTCCATAGCCACTCACATTTGACAAAAAACGAAGGCTCGGGGATTGGGGTTTATTAGCGAAATAACGAGTGGAAGACAGTGATTCCAAGCCCCGAACATAGCCAGAAAAGGAAGCACGTGTAATAGGTTGCATAGGTTTGATATTCTGTATTATGTCAACAAAGTCTTCATGTAGCATGTCATCACTGTCCAAGCTAGAACCATTAGTTTCACGAAAAACATCTTTGCTTGTGGAAAGTTTACTCTGTGTCTCATCCACCTTTTGTACATTAGCAATGACATCAGATTTCATAGTGTTTAATTTTTCTGAATCTGAACTGAAATGTAAAATATTTGATTTTTGATTATAATCTTTTTGAGACTCCCCATTGTTTCGCCCTGACTGAGAAGAAAGGAAAGGTGCAGTTGGAGTTTCAGATCTTCTATCTTCTGGGTGCTTTTGGTGACGTGCAAGTTTCTCTTTGGTGGCTGTGACAATACTTGTGTTCATAATAGGGGAAACTTTGGCTATACTAATGGTCCCTTGGGAACCTTCTCTGATTCTTTCCGATATAGATGAAACCGTGCTAATCTCACCAGGTTGCCTTGATCTACTTTCTCGCATACTTTCCAAGGTTTGTGGGTTAATTTCAACAGCGACATCTCTGGACAGTTGCACTGGTGTGTGATCTTCCTGTGTCATAACAGGCCTTATGATTCGCACTTCCCCTCCAGTATTACTGATATCGGATTTATTGTCTAGAGTTGCATCATTGGTTGGGCAGTTACCTTTTCTTGGTGATTTTGAAGTTCCCTTTACTGCTGCAGTTGGTTTGGGAATGTTAGTACTACCATTTTTCGATGCGTTCACTTGACGTTCACTAGAACCCGAGTCCCTATTATTTCCATCTGCTGACATACTGTAGTTATACATTGAACCACTATCAGTTACAGAACCCACAGTTCCAGAACTGGCCATCACGGTTCTAATATTTCGTTCAGTTTTTGGAATAAGGCTTGAAATTTTCAACTGACGAATGGGGTTAACACGTACGGTGCTTTTATGCGAAAAGCTTTGTTCGTTGCATGGCTGTAGTCTTTGTTTTGGAACTTCTATTCTAGCATCTTCCTTAGGTTCATTACATTCTCCGTCTCTTGGCTTAGGCCTCGGAAGCGAACCACTGCTTGTACTACTCCTCTGACGTGGAAACGTGTTCGATTTTCCAGATTCGTTCCCACTTTTCACTTTACTTAGTCGAGAAGAATCGACGTCTTTTCCTTTAAAAGTGAAATCATAATATATTATCATCACATGAAATTTACCAATTTCTGAGAAAAGCTTACTTGAATACCAAGAGGGCGCTATAAGTTATAATTAAGCTATGTTATATTTGAAGAAATATTTTGATCTAAATTCTAACATTATTAAAACAACTCGCCAAAAATAATCCAAAATTGTGAAATAAATAATAGTCCAAAAATTACATTACTTAAGTTTATGAACTATAACTTTTGATACCGCTGGGGGAAAAAATCACTTGAATGATGTAGAACAGTCTACCAAATTAACTAAAAACAAAATTAGACATCGAAAAACTAATTTTTCTCTCAACCTAAAGTCCCAAGTAAAATCAAGTGAATGGTGAAACCACTCTGAAAAATCAGGGACAGTATATGAACTACGAGATGGGACTATAATTTCAATTTTGCTTGACAATAACTGATTTTCGTGAGGAGATGCTCGTTTTTATAGTCAATAAAAGTTTGGAGACGGCTTGAATGGGTAATGAAGAAAACTTTATTATAAATGTACAACACTTCGACAAAATCATGTCATCATCAGGTACAAGTCATTGCAGGTGTATATTATTCCTTCTTCTCTGAACTTATAACAAAGCATGCCATTAATACATTTTTCTGAAAGTTGGTTTTTTTCTCGGAAAAATTCTGATATTTCACCATTTTGAAAATACCTTGGCCATTAATACATGGCTTAAAAATCAGTGTTTCTTAGCAACAAGCAATCGACATTAGAAAATAAATTTTTTATTTGAATTTACTTACCACTCTCATGTAACAATACAACGAAACACGATAATAATATATGTAGACCAGTTAAATCATGAGAAAAATTGTAGTTACCTGTTCTAGCTTCTATGGAATTAATATATACAATTAATTTAATTAGCATAAAATACATGTGCTCCATTGCGAGGTCGAAAGGCCCCCGATGTGCCGATCAAACTCCTGCATTATCCCCACTTATTTATCTATCGGAACAGGAATCCATACCGAAAAACCGTTAGGTGCTTGAGCACGTGTGCCAAGTCTGATTTTGCTAGCCTATGAATAAAGTTTCAAAGGTGGAGGCACTGCGATCTCGAGAGGGAAGGGGGGGGCCAGGAACACAAAATCTTATGACAGCTTCGGGTTCAACGACCCTGAAAACCTACTTCTTATGCATGGGTGTTCTTTCGATCGCATTTTAGCATCTCTTTATATCCCAAATAAATAGGGGTAGAGAAGGTACGCCGTATAGATAATTACAAACCCTTGGACACCCCGATCATGCCTGTTAGGTTTAGTCCTACTAGCTCCAAAACTGTGGGAAGAATTCGTGGACAAATTAACAAAGATAGAACGTGAAATAAAATACAATGTTAATGTTTTTGGTTTTACTCACTTCCTGCTGAGGCTGGTTTCGAATTAATTTGTCTAATTAAACTTGAGTTCCTGCTACCAAGTGATTTCTTGGTTAAACTCTTTGTTGTGGCATCAGACAAGTTAGCAGTTCCTTGTATCGACATGTGGGACGAACAACCTAGAATTCTGTTTTTTGTTGCATCAGGAAATACATCTGACCTGTCCGTCGAAGAACTGACTTTTGGGTCACCATACAGGCTCCTCGAAGAATTACTGCTCGCCGAATTAAAACCACTACCACTAACTAAGACGCTACCTATGGAGCAAGAAGAAAAAATGAACAAATTCAAATTAGAATTCATTAGAAATGTTTAAGTCAGTGCTTCTCAACTGGGTCCCTGGTTTAACACCTAAATACCTATCACGACTGAAGAAAAAGAAGGATGAATGGTTCACCCAAGGGTTAATGAGATCAGGGTGAATGAGAATGATGGGGTAAATGGGAGGGTGAATTAGTATTATCAATTATACAACAAATTCAATAACAAAAAAGTCATTAGTTATTATTATTTATTCTAGTTGTAGTTTGATAAATACGTATATTTTTGTTTATTTTATGTTGTATTCATTCTAGTTATAGTTTGATGTATATT